CTTTAAGCTGCTGCTCCAATTGTGCTTTTTCTATGCGTAATTGATGTATTACAATTAGAGGATCATCTTCTCTTATTTCTCTACAAATTGAAAAAACAAATAAAAATATTAAATATATTACTTTCAACAAGCGATCAGCATAAACCTTCTTATATTATATAGCACGAGTAATCTAGTTCTATGCCCTTCTAGTGGAGCATAGGGGCTCATATAGTTACAATATTATTTAATTATTTTTCAAATAAAAACTTCTAGTTATCTATATATTTCTTGAAAAAGAGTCAATAGAACTAAGAAAAAAAATCTTGAGAAATATACATTTCACTGTAAAAAACTAAATATTGAATGGCAGACGAACCTAAAGTCGCTTAAATTGGGCAATTTAGATCTCTTAATATATTACTCAATATCGTTCAATAATATTTAGATATATGCTGATGCTAATCTCACCTCACGTCTTATGTTATAACAAAACTTACCCTGCTTGCGTCTGAATAGTGCCTATTTCCAATGAATCTTCATGGCACTCTTTTGATTCCATGTCAGCGAATCTACCAACACTTACAATAGCTCCCTCCAATTGATTATCTGGACTTAGAGAAGATGAACTTGATGTTACAGATTGTTCCACACGAATATCACATTGTGAAGCGATGAAAGATTTGACTTCATCATTGCAGTCCACTAAAATGAATAATTGGATATGGTATGTAATTTCATAATACAACTATTATGTTTAGTTAGTTAGTTAGTTAGTCAGTTGTGGTGGAGGGAAAACTGAATCCTCCTCAATTAGTCAAGAAAGGCATTCTGAATCTACAAATACTAGTAATAATAGGTAGTAAGAAGAAGGTCTAGCTAAAAACCCGCCAGAAGAATTTATAAAGGCCAAAATCTGACTGATGCTAATACTAGGGATATCACCGAGTGCATTGAAGAAGAGGGCTCCACAAACTTAAGCCTAGTTGTGACCGTAGACATAGACACAGACGGTGTTCTGGTGTTTTTTTTTCGAGAGCTGATAGACACGCATTGTAGAAAAAACCGCAGGGTACGCCAAGCCAAGCTCCATGTCGTCCTATGGTCCAGTGTGAAGACAGATATTAACCTAATTACTTCTGATTTGCTATACCTATAAGGTCAGAGGTTCTACATTTGAAATAGATTGGCCATGTAGCCGTTGACCCTACTGCTGAAGCAGCATGGACCCACTCACTATTTGCCTGTCGCAAAAGATGATCATAAATCAACCTCCGACCGTAGCTGGCCGAGTATCCTTAAAAGAGGAGCCCAGTCTAACAAGCTCGTCTGAGCTCTCATTTCCTACAATATTAAATGCCCGGGAATCCAAATTAGAGTTACCGTGGACCTCACACTTAGTGCGTTAGTAACTTTCTCACATTCTTCGACTAATCTAGATAAAATACAGACCGCTGATAAGGCTTTAATAGCTGTCTGACTGGGAGTTAGAATATAGACTTCCTTTCCGCGAAAGTCATGTTTAAAGCAAGAGCACATGCCATAAGGATGGCGCAAAATTTTTGCCTGAAATATTGCGGTGGTATCTGAAAGACGGTATGGTTTACTAACTATTAGGTCCTTAGAAAATATGACTTCAATATTTAAGAACTTCTTACTTTCTTCAATTAATCCTGTGGGTGGATCTCCAAAAGTTTCACAAAAAGAGCCAATGTTATGTTGACTTGCGCGCTTACAATCATATGCTGGGGGGTCTTTTGTGCGCACACATATAGCCTTTTGCTTGCTTCCATCATCGGATAATGTTTCTTGCATATTATATAATTGTAGTTTATTTGAAGTGTCTAGAAGTTCTTCCAGCATCTAGAAATATAAAAAAGTGTTTTCTATTAAAGCAAAAGAAAAATTTTATTAAACGGATTCGAATAGCAAAGAAAAGACAAGAACAAAAATTTAGTAAAATTATTGAAATTTAGCTGACCATACAACCCCGTTTCGAATATTGCCACGACTCATGATCTTAGGAAATACTCGAATTTCTTTTTAATTCGTTTATAGTCCGTCTATAATTTGTTTGCATAAAATTTGCATATCACGTCACACTGCGGTCAGTTGCGTCACGGGTTGCTAAAGAACGATATCGATATCTATTGAAATCTCGACGTTGTGTTAAGCTTTAGTATTTATGGAAAGTTTATGAAAATACCCAACAAAATTTCAAAGGTGTTCTTATATTGTTTCTCTAAAAAACTATAGGAGTTTGTTTCACAAACGAAGTTCCGGGTTTATATCTTTGCTTAAAAGTTTTAGTTCAAGAGAATTATTTACACAGTTTTGCATATTCCACTAAAGTGTCTTAAACAAAATAAAAAAATTAATAAATAAGCAAACAAAATATGTGCAAAGAAACCACCTACGCAGAAGTACTTGCGTAGAATTATGTGATAAGTAAAACAAAGAATGATATAAGAGAATTAAAAGAGATGGTAAAACAATTATGCCAAGTAGCTGCGATGCATAAAATAACAATACTTATAGCGATAATTGATAGCCAACATAAGTAACATCAAAATAGTTGCCTGGAATGCAAACGATCTCATTAAACAAGTATAAAATAGACATCTTTCTAATATCAGAATCTCACCTAACATCAAAATGATACATAGCTATCCCGACCTACAATATTTATCCCACAAATCACTAAGATGTCTCATTAAACAAGTACTTAAGCTAAAAGCTTATCTAAATAAAAATAAAATAGATATCTTTCTTATATCAGAATCTTACCTAACATCAATATGATACATTGCTATCCCGAACTAAAATATTTATTCCACAAATCATCACGATGACAAAGCTCACGGAGGCACAGTAAAATAATATGCTTTCGAAAATATAAAGGCTACAACGGTAGCAAATGACGATCATCAAGGGTACCTCATAATTGCGGCTATTTACTGTCTACCCAAATTGAACAACACTGCAGAAGAATATCTAAAAATTTTAAAATCACTTGGAGATCGCTTCATAAATGCTGAAGATTTCAATGTAAAATACCAGATTTGGTGGTCGAGGTTTAGTAATGTGAAAGGTAAATACCTACATGAAGCAATAGCATTAAACAAATCCTCTTTCCTCAGCACGGGGGAACTCACATATTGGCCAAGTGATCCTAGAAAGACGCTCATCAACTGACCTATCTTCAGACTACTCTCCGATTATACTTAATTACTACTATAGAAAAGTGCAGCCGAACGACTTTAGCAAGTATATATATAACAACAAAACTTGTTGGGATACATTTCGTGAAATCGTAAATGACAAATTTCAACTAAATGTTTCTCTTGCTTATCCAAACAACACAACAATTGCAGCCATAACTGGCTCTATACCTGTAATAAAAATGATCATCAAATATTATAAACTGTCACCATAAGTTAAGGAAATAATAGCACCTAAGAGAAGGCCGAGAAAACAATGGCAACTAAACCGAGCGCCTGTAATTAAGCCGAAAATATGCAAATTAACGCAAAATATGAAGGATTTATTAAATAAAGACAAGCAACTAAATACAACGACGTACCTTACCAACCTTGACCACAATAAAGCAACAAAATATGCCTTATGGAAAACTACGAAAAAAAATTGCCAAAGTCGTACTATCAATGAGCTGCAAAATATAATTGCAGAAATAATTAATGTTTAAAAAACTCCGGGATATGACGGAATTACTGGTAAGATCCTGCGAGAACTGCCTAACAACGGCCTTATCTTTATATGTAATCTTATCAACTGCATACTTAAAAATAAATACTTCCCAAAACCATGGAAAGTAGCTGATCTCGTAGCCATACCTAAATGCAAGTCTAGTGTAGTCTTACATACCCATAAGCCTATTGCCTTGCCTCTCTAAGCTGTTTGAAAAAGTATTTATGAGAAGACAAGACCGCATTCTACACCAAAATAAAATGTTTTCAGATCATCAATTCGGTTTCCGTAAAAAACACTCAACTATCCAGTAAGTACACTGTGTTATTAACAAAATTCCAATGGGCTTTAAAAAAAAATACACAATTGCAGTATACTTAGATGTAGCGAAAGCTTTCGATAGTGTTTCGCATGATGGACTCATTAAAAAATTATCAAAAATTCTTCCTGAGAGTTATGTTCAAATTCTTAAGAGCTACTTCGGTAAACGTTACTTCTACGTAAACTACAAAGACAGTATCTCCGGTTTTAAAAACATAGAAACGAGTGTCCCACAAGGTAGAGTAATAGGCCTTGTACTCTATCTACTTCACACAGCCGACATCCCAACCTCAACTAATGCAAATGAAATTATTGCTACGTTCGCAGACGATACTGTACTACTCGCGTCAGACTCCAACGTTAACATCGCTAGAGGTGAACTCCAAAAGAATCCAAACATAGTTTCTGAGTGGTTCTTGCATTGGGATGTAAAAATCAGTAGAGACAAAACCACACAAGTGACGTATACTAACAGAAAATTTGCGGATAAGCAGTTGCTTATGTTATATATGATGTACCAATACCAACAAGTACCAAAGCCAAATAACTTTGAATAATAGACCAAAAACTCACTTGGAAACATCACATTATTGAAAAAAGAAATGAAATGAAACAAAAATTTGTCCAAATATATTGGATGCTAAGATCTAACTCACTTTCGTTAGAAAATAAAACACTGGTATATAAAATGTAATTACCATATCTCCCGCTTACTTTTTATGAGGCTATGTCAAGTCATTGGTTTATGCTGACAAATAAGCAGCTCTTGAAATATTGGAAGCCAATGTTCATGCCACCATTTACACCATTTTCATTGGAAAAAATAGTCAAAAATTCGACTGATCGAATGAATAATGTAACTCGTGGCCTCGGCGGACATACGCCGATAATAATAGTCAAAAAAAAATTATGTGTCAGATTATAATAAAGAAAATTTCGTTCCAACAGTATTTCTATCTTGTCAATATCATTTTAAGTGCTCACACTTAAAATGAATATAACTTCAATATCACAGAATATAACTTCACTATCATATCATATTGCCGGTCTTAAAAATAAACTGTTTTTTTAGTGTATTTTTATTATATTAATTTTTTCAGGTATTGAAAAGGATGTGTACTATGAAGGAACAGCTCATTTTAAGGTGGCAAATGTTAGGGTGCTTGAGCTAAAAAATTAAAGGACATGTGGGACAGATTATATCACTGAATATAGACTGCAATAAAAGACTATAAAAACTTTTGGAACTTTCGAGGTACGTGTTTTGAAAAACTTTTAAGTTTAACAGAAAACACAATTCGTTCTACCTACGCAAATCACTTTTCATATCAAGGAACTAGACGAAAGCATCGAGACAGTTGAAGTAATAGAGGTCTTATAGTGTTGCAAATAAAACAAAGTGCTCGGAGATGAACGAATTCCAGCAGAGTTTTTGAAATACTTATTATAACGTAAAAAACTATACACTAAAGGCGAATATACTATAGGGGATTCGAAAGCAAAAGTATAGCTAAACTGCCTTCACGACTGCAAAGTTGGAATACCAAGCAGGCTTCAGGCGAGAATGTTCGACTGTGGACAAGGCTTCCATTATAGCAATATTGTAAAATTGTACATGGTAAATGAAAAATGTTGGATATTTATTTTAGATTTTGAAGCCTTATTTGACTGTATTGACAAAACAGCAATGTTTTATGAGTTAAATAATTATGGAGTTTCCACAAAAATGCTTGAAATACTCAAGACGTTGTATTATAATACAACGGCAGCGGAAAGAAATCGAAACAGCTAGAAAGCTTTAGCGACATATAACGAAATGGAAAAAAATGAACATTAAGCCCTGGATATCGAAGTCGTCTCCACTGTATGTGTCAAAGAAAGGACTTAAATCAAATAAATATCAAATAGAATAGTTGCCACTACCAACCTGAATCTATTCAAAATAACGTGAATTACATTAGTAAATGTGTGTCGAAATGTGGCTTAAACGGCGGTGTCTATTATTAGATCTCAATGTAGTCAACTGGACAGTGTTTACACTATATTTACTCAATAAATCATACTAGTCAACTTAATATTGAGAACATTTATGTCATTGTTGTTTTTCTTAAATTGCAAAGACAAGTTCTAAGTAATTCTTACAGTGGCAATGCGAGTTGGTATTATCCCGCATAATATAAGCTATTATTATCCCGCATATATAAAGACATTTTAAATAATGCATATGATAACATGTAAACATATATCACCCACTCACTAATGACAAAAAAATTTACGCAGCATATAGCTGGTTGAGCTATAAGTTAAGTATTAAGTATTAATAGTTACCTTGACGTTTTCATCAGCGCAACTGTTATATTTGGACTTATACAATTCCACTTCAGATTTGAGAACTTCGTTGTGAGATAGTATAGATTTTATGAGAGACTGCATTTCGCGATTGATAGGCGTAGTTAACTCAGTGAGAATTTTGTCTTCTTTCATTTTAGCACGTAGACGATTACATTTCATTTGATACTCCTTAATTAAATCTGCCTTCTGCTTCATTTCGTCTTCCAATTTCTGATGTGCAGCTTGCTCTTGTCTCTCCATTTCTTCAATTTGTAACGAGTGCACATTTGTACTCAGCGTTAGTTGCCGATTTATTTCTTCGAACGAAGATCTCATTTGCAACGAATCTCTCACCAGCACTGAAAATTTCGACTGCAAGCACTTATATTCTGGCGTTTCTACTATAGCTGATTCTGGTAAGTGGTTGAGCTAAGTAAATTACAAAATTATTAAATACATATAAAATATTTAAAAAACTGAACCAATGAAAAGATATACTTACATACATTTTCAGCTGTTCGACTTCTTTTAGTGTCTTTAAATGAGTTGAGTGTAACTTATCTAGTTCGACATGACGATTGTCAGCTAGTTCACGGCAATCTCTCATCTCATCTTGCAGCTCCTCATATTTTTCACGAGATATATTAGCCATCATTTTAGTTGCTAAAGCGCTTGGATTTTTGTTTGAATTTTTTACTAAACGGAAAGATTTGATTTTTTCAAAGAACTCTGCCAAGTAATTCTCTAGTTTCAAATTTTTGTTAATCATTTTACCGAAATCATAACGCACTTCTTCTATTTGCTTGTTGAGCTCATTACTGTTAATTCTCGAATTGTTGAGTCTCTGTTGACACAACTTTAGTTCAAGCGATTTTTTATGATTTTTCGTTATTAAGTTCATGTTCATCTTTTGCAACCCAATATATTCAGTCATTAATTTAACATGCAAGTACTTTATAGTTCCATCTACTGATTCAGACGAAGTGATAGCATCATTACCACTGCTAGCAATTATATCTTTTAGAACATCTGCGACTTTATCACTTCTTTCCATAACATAATTAACAACTGAAACAATTTTAGTTACTGCTTCTTTAGATAGCTGCACTTTGTTAGCCAATTCAATATTTAATTCCTTCTTCTCCAACGAATAGAGTTCATTCAGAAAGAAAACTCCTGATCTCTCCGACTCCCCCGTATCTCTCCGACTTTCTGCATTAAAGTGTTGCAGCAGTATATGAACGTCTTCATTCAACTGATTCCAATGGCTATTAAATATATTCAATATTTCTTCAGTTTTCTTTTGTTTCTCCTCCAATTTCTGTATACGTTGATCTAATTCTATTTTGTTGGTTATAAGTTGATTAAGCCGTTGAGTCAATTTTTTATTCTGAAATCGTAGTGCTTCTTTTCCTCTTACTTGAACCGAGAATGCAGACACATCATCATCATTTATCTTATCCATGTTTTGATTTAAATTGGAAGTCGTACCACTATTTAAGTTGACCGACATTTTTATCAACCACTTTGTGGCATAAGCGGCTATGACAAGTTAAATTGTACACTGCAATACTACAAATACACAAAAATAAGATGAAAAAAAAAACGATTTTAACTTGTTATTTGTAAGTACTAGTTTACATAGTATATTTGTTACATAATAGCATCACTGTGTTCCTGCAGCTCGATTACATTCGAGTATATATCTAATCTTATCTAGATTTAATAATCTGTAAATATTATATTTGTTTCGACCGCTTTCAGTCATTATTTGATAAAAATCGTTATTCGTTTATTGTAGAGTTCAAAGAGTTTTATCTAATATGATCCGACAGTTCTTTAACGGTTAAGTGATTCCGGTAGTAAAACAAGAAAGCGTAATATACCAATATCTAGCTTCTACTCAATAAGTCGGCCGGCAAGCCTTCTCGTTGTGAACCTTTTACCACAAATTATAAAAAACGCGCCGAGCCAGGACCAGCGTACTCAGTCCTCTGTCTGAAAATGCAAAAGTCAAAGGCACTCTTTCATTGACTCCTCGATCTATTTAGACAAGTTTTCCGTAAATTAGTAACTTTCCAGTCGTACTTAATAGCTGTGATGGTAGCTATTAATGATGGAAGCTTAAACCGATTCGCAGAATATCTATTAGAAATACAAACTTGAACTCCAACTTGACAACGAAAAAACGCCACGAAAATGGATTATGATGTGGAACCTATAATGTAAAAATATGTATAGCGCTGGTAAACTGGCCCAGGCATCAAAAATACTTGAAAATTTCAAATTAACCTTTATGAGCATGAGTGAAGTTAGATGGAACGGATGTGGATAAATTAGAACCTCAAAAGGTCACATTATGTTTTGGTCAGGCATACCAAACAAAGAATAATGTATCGATTGTTCAGTGCTATGCGCCTACTGAATACAGCAACGAAAATGATAAAAACGCTTTTTATGACAAGCTTAACGACGCAATTACTAAAGTGACGAAGTAAGATTTAAAATTGTGATAGGCGACTTTAATACTAAGATCAGGAATTTAGAACACGTCATCGGAAAGCAAGGCCTTGGTGACATGAATGACAACGGCGAACGACTTGTAGAGCTATGTGATATAAACCGCGGGTATCACCTGATATAAGAACACAAAATCAAATAGATCATATATATGTTGTGGCAAAATGGAGTAACTTTTCACCACCTACTAGTTGACAAAGCACTAATCAGCACAATAAGCATCTAGAAGTCGACTAGCTATAGCAGAATCACACAGAAGATCTCTAAATTGAAAACAAATATAAATATAAATATAAAGCAAAAGTATATACCGTCTTTGAAAATCTTACCGCTCCTACTGACAACCCAATATTGACTAACTAGCATAACTAATAACGAATACTTTACACCTACTCTTCAAAATCATTTGAAAATATTTATAAAAGTTGTACTGGAAAGAATTGTAAAAGTTGTTGAAGTACTATTACGACCAGAGGAAGCGGCTTTTAAGAGCGGAAGATCTTGTGTTAACCATATTAATAGGTTGAGAATAATCATAGAGCAAGGGATAGAAATGTGATCTCCCTCTATATTTATTTGCTTTTTATCTATTTTGAAAAGGTGTTGCACTCGTTAAATATTGGTTTCCCAGATAAAATAGTCTCCGTAATTGCAAAAGCTACGATCAATTTAAGTGCTTAGTTTTGACAACAAAATGTCTGAGCCCATTTATACAATTTTCGGTCATGCACGCGTCCTTCCCCCACTGCTGTTTTTAATTGCGCCAATGACACCAAACACAAGGCGACAAATGGGAGTTGTCACACCGGCTTAATGATATGCAGCATAATAACATGTCTTTAGAGTCCTGCAAAGTCGGACTGAAAATCTATAAAAAAAAAAGAAATATAGTAAACTATTAAGTATTACTTGCTATACTAGGGTCGAGTTTAAGTTCTGGAGCAGACCAAGTGCTAGTACCACTGCACTTATATTTAGCAAAAACGAAATATAATGAATTGTTACTGAGGAAAATTAGTGTGATGAAGCACAGAAAACTGAATTCCAAGAAAAAGAGACATTACAAAATAAAATAAAATAAAATATGTTAAAGAATAACAGACATATTTCATGATTATTTGTGTATATACACACATATATATATCCAAGTATTGGAGACAATTTGTTATATGTAGCAACACAACAACAATAATTATAGTTGATAATAATCTTAAGTGCAGTGGATTTAATTTCGCGTAAACAAAAACCAGACCAGGCATAAAACAATACTTCATTGCATAGTTTATTTATTTTATATTATTTATAGCTGTATTTGTTGATCACAGACATTTTACCCAATTTCGGATTAAACCAGGTCTTATAGATACTTAGTATCAAATTGCACTGACTTTGGTATGCAAATCACTGACCTGAATAACATATACATATTCCGCTTAATATTATTTTATTTTATTTATATATTATCGTTTATTTAATATTATTATTAATTAAGTACTTAACGTATACGTAGCGACTTTTGAAGCCCAAATGTTTTGATATTAACTCTCAAAATGTTAGAATATTTGAAAAAAAAAAAAAAGAGAAAAGATATTAAAAAGAAAGAAGGAAATAAGTCAAGAAGAGAAAAGAAATGTAAAGAAGAAAGAAGAAAATAAGACAAAAAGAGAAAAGAAAAGGGGAGATAACAAAAACGATAAGAGAACAAAAACGAGAAAAAAGAGAACAAAAACAAGCGGACAGATAAAGAGAAAACCAGAAGAGAAAAGTGAAAACAATTCTACAAATAAGGAGTGAACAAAAATTAAAGGTTGGAAAAAGTGAAAAAATGAAAAGAAAAGAGGCAGAGAAAAAAGAAACGAAGAAGAAAAAAGGAAAGAAGAAGAGAAAGGGAAAGAAGGGAAAAGGTTAGAAGGGAAAAGAAAAAGAGGGAAAGGTAGGAAAAGAGAAAAGAAAAGAAAAGAAAAGAAAAGAAAAGAAAAGAAAAGAAAGAAGAAAAGAAAAGAAAGAAGAAAACAAATTTAGAATAGAAAAGAAAAAAGAAAAGAAGAGGAAAAAAGAAAAGAGGAAAAAAGAAAAGAAAAGAAGAAGAGAAGAGAAGTGAAAAGAAGAGGAAAGAAGTGAAAAGAAGAGGAACGAAGAGAAAAGAAGAGAGTAGACAAAGAAGAAGAAAATATGTTAGTAAGTTCTTCCCTTACTTAAAGAGAATCTTTCCTATAAAGATAAGGAAAAAAGTATAGAAAATAGAAAAAAAAGGGATGATGAGCAAAATGAAAAAGAGTAAAGAATAGGAGTAAAGTAGAGAAGAAAATATACGAAGAGAAGAGGAGGAAAGAAAATAAGAAAATAATACAATAAAACTATATGCTTCGAGAGAGTTTTCTGCACTAATTCCGGGAAAGTTGGCTCGTTACTGCAATTAACTCAAATAACTGAGATCTTTAAGGTCGCAACGCCTCCAAATAAAATAATACATAATATGCCAATACCTAAAAACACGGCTAAATGTTTATTTATTAACTTATAATGAATTCTTTATAAACCACTTTATAAACACTTTGAAGCGCTGACTAGGCGTTCGACTGAAATACAAATATACACAAAGCAGAAAAAGTCTGTGGTCACCCACGAAATTTTTCTTAAATTTCGCATACCTTTTTTAATTTTTACTCGAACTGATTTTTGTGCTGGCGAATCTTATTTTCCAAATAAACCCACAGATGCTCTATGGGACTAAGGTCTGATGATTCTGGTAGTGTTTAAAGTTGCCTGGGAGCATGGTACAGTCGCTAATCCCTCACGAACACTGCTGTACAGTTAGAGTCATTATTCTGCTGAAATAAGAAGGTTGCCTCAAGCCCTAAACTTCTGGCACTTTCTTTTAAATTTGTTTTTAAAATAATTAGATACCTATATTTATCCGGTACTTGCTATACACCCCCAAACCATTACACCTCCACCACCATGTTTCACCGTTGGAATTTAGTTTTGTTTATCATTGGCTGTACACGATTTTCTCCACACGTTTTCTATCTTTGATTCCAAATATGGAAATTAAGTCTTTTCGGGGAAAATAATTCATTTTCAAAACTCCATAGATTTATTTACATGCTTTCTGGCAAAGCTTAATAATTTTATTAATTTTTCTTACAACCCGGGTATAATATTTGCTTCTCTTCAAGATTTTCCGCACAGTATCAGGACATATTTTGTTTTCAAGTATTTCGGCAACATGTTCAGCTAGTTTGAAGACTGTTACTCTTGGATTTACTTTCACCTGCTTGATTATACTACGTCTTTCTCTATCTGTCAGAATTGAGGGGCAACTAATGCTCTCAGAGATTGATAAATGTAATTATCCGTCTCCTAGAAGCTATTTATAACTCTCTGCATTCTTCGATCTTCAATATCTTTTTAAAATTTAACAGTTATTTGTCGTTCACTAACACTAATTTCACTAATTTCAATTTCAATTTAATTTTTATTTTCAAATTATTAATTCTTAGACTTTTTAAGAAGTCAACTGATAATTAAATATCATCTAATGACATGTTTATACTTACTAGCGAATTAAAATTAACGGCAAATCTTAATATTAAGAAGTGAACGCAGACTTTTTCTGCTTCGAAAATTGTTGCTTTTGCATATAATTGTTTCATTTATTTTTTTAAATAACTATTAACTTCTTATGTTTGAACTGCATTGTTGTTTCTTTGGTTAAAATAAATCAGAAAACAAAATCAGTTTGAGTAAAAATTAAATAAGTTATGCGAAATTTAAGAAAAACTTTGTGGGTGAACGCAGACTTTTTCTGCTGAGTGTAAATGTTGTAAAGATACTACGAATTTGTTGAAATTATTAAATTAATATCAAATCACTGAAACCTAAAGGTTCTACCTGAGATTAAAGAATTGATTTTAAAATTTATTTATAAAATGTGTGTATTTTTTAATAACATAAAATGTATATTTAAACAGCTTTCAACATATTTAATAGACAAAAAAAATTAACTAATCCTTTGGTCGTTTTATATGTATTTCGTTATAATCGATTAGGCACAAATCTAGTTTTGCTGATATTTTTAGTATTATATTTCAGTAGCCTTTTTTTTAATTTAAATCCGTTAATTTATTTCATTAAATTTATTCACTTAATTAAGTAAAAATATGTTTGGATTTTTGTAATATTTAATATTTGGGATTAAGCAGTGATTTAGCATTAAGTATGCTAAGTAATTAATTCTTTCAAATTAATTATGAAAATGAGAGGAATATGTTTAATATTTTTTGTTCAAATTGAAGCAAATTCATATTTTTATTTTCATTTAAAATATTTGGCAATACTACTGGAATGCACAATCTACTTATATTTTATTTAAAACCGAGACACCTTTCAGAAATTCAAACAATAATTTAAAATAATGAGAGTACGTAAATCTTTTCCATGGCATTCGCAAAGCAATCACTAAGCACTTTCAAGCAGTTCGGCTTATTCGAACTGCAATTATATTTGCTAAACAATTAAATTGTTGGCTCAAATTCTGCAATGACACTGGACTTATTAGCTCAGCACCCAAATAAGTCCAGTAAAGGCTGCAGTTTGCAACAAACGACTTGCAGTCTATAAAATAATACAAATAATAATCATAGTAATCATTTAAAACTCACGAACAATGTATACTAATTACCAACTTTTTTGGTTAACTCCCCATTTGCACTATCCTACTATCCGCCTAGCCCTGGACCATGTCTAAGCCATGAAAGCATTTAAATCTAAAGCTGAACAAAAGTTACAAACAAAATTAAAAGTAAGAACAGTAAAAACAGCAAAATTGTATGTAAAAGATGAATGATACTTAAGAGATTTGCACTGAATGCAGCACTCGATCTTAGTTTGTGGTACTTGCCACAAACTTTGTTTCTACTGCGGCACCAAAAGTCCCATTGTGCGAACATACCAGCACATTTGTGTTTGTAGCTGTTGTGTCGGCACTGGCGTTGCTGCTCTGGGTCCACTGTGCGTATGGCTTTTGATGAAAATATAGTGGCTGTTGGTTCGCAGCTTTGGTCCATTGTATTTTCTAAATTTTCACTACAAAAATTTCCATTCAATTACGAGAGTTCTTGCTTTTGTTGCTCGAAAAACCAAACTAAATTATAACAATATAACAACAATAACAACAATAACAACAATAACAAAATAGCAATAACAATTCCGAGCAACTGCGAAAACAATACCAACAACAGCAGCTCCACCCAGAAGCAACGATTGCAACAGTTACTACAAATCCAACAAGAGTAACAATAAAAACAGTTTTTGTTACCAGAAACTATTTTAACTCAGTTATTTACTTGCGAAGGTGTTAAGCCAAGTTTTCAACTCCATTGTCGGGCTTCGCCAGCTTTTGTACTACTAGTCAATGCAATGCAATGCAAAAACAATTTCAATAAATGAGAACAATTGAAAGGAAAAGGAAATGCTTTAATTATTAGTGAAAATTCATACTTTCTATAGAAACGTGCTTATAACGTTAAGGATCGTTAGGGATAAATTCAAGGACGATCAATTCTTACTAAAATTTTTTTTTGGTCAGAAATAGAAGTAATTTGGGTAAAAGTAATTGCTGCAGATAGTACACTCAAATTAACTTTATGCTAATCAAATTCAATGTTTCAAGATCTCGTCTAATTTGATAAGCGTTCTACAAAACGACATAGCTGTCAACAAATATGATCCAATAAGAAAATTCTAGACGACCTGAGTCCCCAAAATTTGAAACGCCAATTTTATAAACATATTAGAAAACGACATAGTTGTCAGCAAATATACATCTATTCGAGGAGTAAGTACTAACAATTCAAAACAGTTCAATTCAATTCAAAAAATTATTAAATCCGAACTTAGAAGAGTATTGAATTAAACACGGAATCCGTTTTAGTTACTTTTCAACTAGCTTTGCATCTGAATTTGTGGAAATATAGTCATAAGTAAGTCAGAATTTACAATGCATTAAGAATAATTAGCGTATTAGCGTTAAATTTAAAATCGATTAGCTACAGTTTAAATTGAGATCTTGTTTAGATCTATTAATTATATTATTGTTTATTTATATTACATTCTATGAACATTCTATGAATGAACTATACGTCCACTACACATATTCATTAATTATACATATAAACTCAGCCAGACGCTTACCTATTTTATCCTATATTATCTTGTAGGCGTGATGAAACTTTAATAGAGGGCGCAACCCTTATTGAGTTACTATCGGTTTGACTGCCTTTTGTGATAATTTACAAAAGAAATATATCTGTTATGATATGCTAAGTTGTTTTTTTTAACTGCAAACAGATAATGATTAATATTTAAGTCACTTTATTTAATAATGTATTGCTTAATGCGTCACACAATTTTATTCACACTTCGACACTTCAAATAAACAAATCATTTCATCTGAACTTAATATGTAAACAAAAAATTATTTTATGACTTTATGTGGACTAAATCACACCATTAAATTGATTTGAAGCATTAAACTGCGAAACATATTTACTATTTTTTATAAATGCTCAGTATATACTCACGTCGAAAATATACAAGATCAGCGTCTATCTCTGCTTACCCGAAATATGTAAGAAGTTTTCAGCAAGATTCTTATAAACGTGAACCTTCCGTTTATCCTCTATGTTGACGACAATTTAATAAAATTATTCTTCACCATATAAGGACGCGCTCCAACTGACTTCTACTGTTGTCAACTGCTGTCTTTGACAATTGTTCTTTCTTCGCCGGTAGAGTTGCCGTATTTATTTTTATTCTCCAAAAACAATGCGGAGAAGTTCTGATTTTTTGAAGAAGAAAAATAATTCAAGAAAATTACGAGTCTGCAATTTTTTTATTGCATAGTACAAATTTATTCACACTTCACTTCACTTAAATAAATAATTTCATCTGAACTCAATAAATAAACAAAAAATTATTTTATGACTTTATACGAAATCAAATCATCCCATCGTAAATAACGAGATCGTTTTTTATACAGCAAAAATGTTCTGCAAAAATCTTTTCCACGTTAATGTCCCGTTTATTGTCTATCTTGATATTATTTTAATAAAACAATTCTAGCCCAAAGAAAAAAACCAAACCATTGATCACAAGAGTCAACTTCCAACTAAGCTTTGGCAAAATTGTAAGCCTTTTTTTGCTCTGTCGACAGAGTTGCCGTTTTAAGTTTTATTGTCTCCAGAAACAATTCTTACAAGTTCTACGATGTTAGTGTAAATTTTTGAATATGGAAAATATTTTTACAACATATATTCATAAAATAACTTACAGTTATGAAGTTCACGGGGCACTAGTTATCGGGTTATGTGGTGATAAAATGAAAAGGAACCTGTGTGCACCGTGAACAGACTTTTACGTAGGTTATCTGGTTATTTTTATGCAATCAGCTGTTTTTTGTTTTTGTCGTCAGTACAAAGAAATTTCAATTTAAATTTCAAAATCAATTGTACACAAAATACCTAAAAAGAGTATAAAAAATCAAATTACGGACTTGAAAATAAACGCAGTTATTAAGGATCTTGAATTTATCGAAGGTATGTGCTTAAAAACTTAATAGTTGCAAAAAACAAAGTTTTTTCCATTTATAGACACAGCACGCTTTGACTAATGGTACGCTCTCATAGATGAAAGAATGGTTGAACTACTGGAGGATGTAAGAACAATCACATCTTTTCGACGAGGAGATGAACTAAGTGTGCCGAAATCCATTCATTGGCGAGATAATATTTTAAGTTGTTTCGACTAAAGAAGATTTTTATTTTGGATGGACCATTTTTACTCACTTTTGCAAAATTTAAATGTTTGTTTACAAACAAAACCATCTACAAATGTTAGTGATGCCCATTTGAAATTTACAGTTTGTGGTGCCATTCGGTGAAATTAACCCTCTTTGTGATTCCATTTATTTAAGTTTTATATTATTATCAACACTACAAATAACCACAAAACCACATAAATTTGTAAACATAGGCAGGAGTCGCGCAAAGTTTGATATTTTTATTTAGTGCATTTTGCACATAAGCACATAACCCAATAACCAGTGCCCCTTGAACACCCTAAGTATGTTTCTACTGTCTTATTTAAATAGTTTCGCTTATTAAGACCACTAATAAGAATAATTTACCATACAATGAACCTTTATATAAATGAACTCATTATAAATAAATCAATTGAATTAAAGTACATTCACCCTGCCTGTCTCATTTAGACACTTGATCATTTATATTAATAAGTGAACTTTCACTTTATAGTTAGCACATTTATGCAGTTGATAGAACTTTTATAAATTTCACTTAATAAAATATCACACAAAAAAATTAAATATGTAATTGATATATTAAATCATTATATACATATTCACTTAATAAAAACAGAGATTTCATTAAATGTTTACTTCCTCAGTGCCTTTGTTTATAGCTCAGCTGCTATTTGTTTATATTTTACATTCATATAAAACATGTGGCACTTACTTCAAATTTCCCTTGTGGGAAATTTATTTTTAATATATGCATTCGACATTTTTTACCTTACATGAGCTTGATAATATTGATAATAAGAGCATTTATACGAAAACTTATACGAAAGTTATAATGAGTAAAACCTAATTAGTGGCCTAAATGAGACAGTGTGAATTTACTATTAGCATACAAAGAGCTTTCATATAAACGCAAGCTCATGTTCTGGACAATATTAGGTCTGTTCCACGAGCTACTCATAGTAACACATGAGTAAAACAGAAGTAAAATTTACACAAAAATACTTGAAAATTTGCTGGTGGAACGCGCTTGTGTATACACAGTGTTTACTCAAAGTTACTATGAGTAGCTCGTGAAACAGACCTATTGTATTTTTGAAACGATTTTTAAAACATATAATTTGCAGCTATTATTTTAGAATACTAAATCGGTGCCGTTGGTTTTTGTGATTGATGCACCTCAAAACTTATAGGTTTACCATTAACGTTTTCTCTAATGGCATATATTAGAACAATCACTTTCTTATTTTGCCACCTGAAAGTAGTATCAAAGAAGATAAAGAAAAGAAACTGAGAGTTATACTAAAAATTGTATATAAAATTTTCTGGATTATTCAAATAATATTCAAAATTTTCTGCAATGAGGTGAAAACATCACGCAGTACAAAAACAAAAGTCCTAATGTTACATAATTACCGTTTTCCCCACCTGGTCGTGCTATTTTGACCACCCGGTCCCTACTCACCACGAAGTTTTTATAAAATAAAAGCACTTTATTAGAAATTTTGTTGTTTTGTTTTGGTTTTTGGACATAAAAAATCCGTTTCGATTAAATGCGCCAGAGTTGCAATTAGGTGCAGAAATATTATACCACTAAAAAATATACGGAATTGAATTTTAATTAAAAAAGGTGATCACCTTACAAAACTATTCAAATTATTACTTAATTAAAATTTTCTGAGAGATGCGACGGAAGTGCGCACTTGAATGTTTAAATTTCAAACATCTATATATTTTTCCAAAGAATTATCCCAGGTTAATTAAAAATAATACAATTTATTGTTGTAGAAAAAAGTAAATACATATGGTATTTGAAATTAAGATGTGTGCCAAAGCAGTATATATAATAAACTACCAATTAGTTTGAATATGTTAGTTTTAATTTACTGCTTTGAAAGGAGTATAATAAAGTGATGAGAATATTTTTTTTCCCATAATATAATAATAATTATGAAACTGTAAAAATCCTGAAGAAGAATTAATATTTTTAATTGTACTTCTTTGGACTTGAATTTTTAATTAAAAGACGGTTAGAAATAGATTTGGATGCCACCAATGTAAGTTTTTTTTTTTGAAATTTGTTTCATTAACATTGCAAATACCTTGTGTTAATATTAGGTCTGTTCCACGAGCTACTCGTAGTAAAATTCAAGTAAAACACAAATAAAATTTACACGAAAATACACAAAAATTTACTAGTGGAACGCACTGTGTATACACAGTGTTACTCAAAGTTACTACGAAGAGCTCGTGAAACAGACCTATTATGTATTAGTAGTGAGTATAAAAGATGAATAAACTTAGTTACGCTTGTCACCTGCTTCTCCTGATTTGTACAGCGTCTTAATTTTTCGGCAACTGCAACTCAAATAACAAGTTTTTGTAAAGGTTATTGTGAATCGAGAATGACAATATCAACAAAAGGTAAAGTTATTTGATTCTTTCATATAGAACGCTATCGAATGTCAAGAATTTAATATAACATAAAAAAAAATTTAATATTGTAGAAAATTTTTTCAATTTAATTTGTATATTAATCTCTCGTGCGAAACGGATGTTATTACTCGACTTTAACCCAAATTTATTAGTTTCCAGATCAAAAACCTATTATTGTCAGTATAATATTCTATCATAATTTTTGTTAAAGTATGTATGCGTTAATATAAGAGTTTATTTAACGTCCATTCCTCATCATAAAATTTCAATAATTAATATAAAAAACCAAAACTTCTGTTAAAGATCGTTAAGCATTGAACTTAGACCTGTTCTTCTTTGACTCATTGTTTTTTAATATATTATTCATTAAAAAAAAAGACTCGTCAAAGGCTAAGCAAGTACGCTTTCCCAAATAAATTGCAATTTTTATTTCGTTTTCAACTCATCGTTCGGCAAATATCAATTTTTTCATTTAAGTCCGAAGACTTCATATTCAATTATACATAGAAAAATATAATATATATTATATAATAATAAATAGTCTCTCGCTTTTCAAAAACAAAAGCAATGGGAAATTGTTCGAAAACGTAGTTCGGTGATACGGTCATTGATAAAGAGATAAAGCGACAAATTGTTGGACGCCCATTTTTAATTCTTCTCGATAAAGTTGTGAAGTTGAACTGCCATAGCATTCCATTTTGTTTTGTCTTCTTTTGTAATTATTAAGTTTTTATTTTATGTAAATAATATTGTCAAAAGGAGAGATTTGTTAGCTAATTCTCTTTCTGAATACGCAACTAACCATATAATATTATACATGCATATAAATATATATAGCATTTATTATACTTAATTTTTTTTAGCAAAATTATAGCGTTCTTTTTCTGCAATCCTAACCCTAATCTAATATTACCATCTCTTATTGAACTAAGTCTAATCGATGTTGCAAAATTAATTACACAAAAAAATCTGTGCAATGGATGATATTAAGGATAGAAAAACATTTTTTATATAGAATGCCGTCTTCTCGATTTGGGATTCGTTACAGAGGTGAAGCCTTTGTGAAGACGACGCATATGGTGGATCAAAACAATGGTTGTGTGGCATATTTTTCTATTCCTTGCCTATTAAAAATCTGTCTAAGCAATATATGTGAGCAATTTTCCCATTTTAACCACTATTGTGCATAGAACTTAATAAAATTAATTTTAATGATAGTTGATAATGTCTTCTATTTATTCAGGAAGTTCTGAAAATATTTAAAAAATAAACGATAATTTTTTCAAACCTAAAACACGCAGTTCTGCACAAAATCGTGATCTTATCGCATCTCCTTTTAAAGTGAAAAATATATTTATTTAATATATTTTAAAGTAGTATTTATAAATTTATTTTTTAATGTAATTTTATGTCAAATATATGTATTTTGTATTATGTATTTTATTTTATGTCGAGACCATAATGGAAAAAAATATTTATATTAAAACATTACTTCGTTAGATTTAGAATGAACCACTGAGTAAGATTCAATTAAAATAGCTATTTCAGTTAACGAAAGATTTGCAAATATAAAGACAGTCGTATATAACCAAATCGCTTAAACAATACTAGGCGACTTTGAATCTCACAGAACTAAACTTAATTATAATTTCCATTCCCAACGTCTGTACATACTATTACATAGTACTATTTTGATTAATTAAGTGGGGAATACTGTGCATTGCGATGCAGGTGATTTTTTTTGCTAACCCCAGTAATTTTAAAACCCAATCATTAAGGTTTTGTATGTCTCATAAGCATATTGAATTATGCGCATTCTGTCTAAATTATAATACTTCCCTAGAATACAACTGAAAAGTTACGTCGGCTAATGCATATGCGAAACCCGTGGTTAGCGCAAATTGAAT